CCGTACGTACCTACCGTACCTACCTACCGTACGTACGTACTCTACGTCGTACGTTACGTCGTTCGTTCGTTACGTTCGTACGTTACCTTACGTTACTACTACTACCTACTACTACTACTACTACTACTACTACTACTACTACTCTCTCTCTCTCTCTCTCTCTCTCTCTCTCTCTCTCTCTCTCTCTCTCTCTCTTCACAACCAACCTGGTCTGCTTCTTTTAAGCTTAACCATGGCTATCCCAAGCCACACTTCTGAATGTAACTCTCACTTTGCCCATAAAATCAGTCACCATTAGCCTTTATTGTTCCCCACTTGTGTTGGTCATTTTGGGCCCCACAATGGCATTCTATGCATATGCTAAATTCACTTGGGTGGTGTTGAGCACCATTCCTCAAAAATTTTGGCACAACCAAGTAGGAGAGTTCTAGCGCATCTTTCCAACATTGTCTCAGCCCATTAGAAAGCGTTGGAGAAAGGACTATGGGGTTCTCCTTGGTGCTTCCACGGTTAGGAGCATAAGGAATGATCCATGCTCTATCGAAATGTGTGATCCAGTATGTACAAAGTCTTAATGAGGTAAACCTTAGGCAACTCTGTTCTTTTAGCTTCCCTTGCTTTTGTAGTCCTGTTTATGATATTGCATGTGAGCTCATGCATTGAAGTTGAAAAGAGGTCTTATGTCATGTGTTTGATGTATATCTTGTGTTGTAATTGAGGTGTAAGCAGTCTTGTAAATGTACTCTCATATCGCTTAACGAATGGAATGTTGTGTTGAGGTATAACAGTGGAAGCCCTTGGCCTTCACTTGAGATGTATTTGACTTTGTTTTAAGAAACAAAAATATGAATCTTGTTGGAATTTTCTGTAAGCGGCAATTGTAAATAAGTTTTGTCAAGTTGTTTAATGAAAAATTAAAATACAATATGACAGTTAACACAACCTATATGCCTCCTCTCAGAATTCTCAACATGCATATGTGTTGAAGATACTAAGAAGAGGATTATACATTTCAATTTATGAAATCAACTTGAAAAATAATACATATACATATAGATAGATACAAAATAAAGGGCCCACCTCAAATTCTCTTATATACATGTGATGCATATATGGTCTGCTACCTAAACAGAGATCCTAGGCACTCCCATGGTAGGGAGCTTTAGCCATGGGTTGATCCCAAGCTCCGGCTCTTACACTCACTCATGCTCCCAACATCTAGGGACAGAAAATAGGCCAAAGGTCCCTTTCAACAAATTTAATCATCATCATCATTTGAGCCTTATCCCAACTATTTGCAGCCAGCTACATGAATCTTGTTCTATCATTCCATTCTATTAAGGGTTGTACCCTTCGATTAGACCATAAATCACTATATCTCTTTTCACTACTTTCATTCATTTCCTTTTAACCCTTCCCCTTGTCTTTTTAAAGCCTTCCACTTGAACCAACTCACCTCTTCTAACCGGTATTGTTCTAGGCCGACATCCCATATGGCTAGCCACCTAAGTCTACTTTCTCTCGTCATATGAGTCACCCCTAAGTTCCTCGGATGTATTCATTTTGAATTCCATCCTTTCTTGTCTTGCCACTCATACATCTCAACATCCTCATCTCAGCTACATTCATGATAGGAATATGTTATTTCTTAACCAACCAACATGTTGCCTCATAAAGCACGGCTAGTCTTAAGAGTTCTCCTTTAAAATTTCTCCTTCAGTTTCATTGGTATGCAGCGATCACAAAACTCCAAAAGTACATCTCCACCTCGCCCACCCAACTTTAATTCTATGTGCGACATCTTCCTCAATCTTTCAATTCTCATAGATTATCGACCCCAAATATAGAGAATAATCTCTTTTAAATACTTTTGAGCCATCAATCTTAAGTAATTATGGCAGCGGTGAGTTACTCAGGCAAGTCGAAGTAACTTGCTTAAGGCCATCCTTGTTTAAAAAATAAAAAGAAAAATTTAAAAAGAAAAATTTACTATATAATAAAAGACTTACCTATTCTTTACACCTTGCGTGACACAATGCTTTGGTTTGTTGTGATAGGCATCTCCCAAGAAGTCTTGGGATAGAGCCATGTCCTTTGCATATTTTTTGAAAAATTAAATTACATATTAAAAGGAAAAGGAAATGCATTTAAAAGGAAATCATGGTAGCAAATAATTTCCAACCCCAAACATAAGGGCCACAAACCTTAAACAACAACCAAAAAGACGTCTGTATTTTACTGAAGTTAAAATGAGCATAACATTACTTATAATATAGGTGTACAACCTACTGGGACTCACCCATAACTCGCCCAAGTCCCAGTCAACTCGAGCGATTCACAGAGCATTGGTTTTTTCCTACTGTGCCGTTCAGAGAAAAATCTCAAAGCAAAATCCCCATTCACTCAAACACAACACAATAAAATAAAAATAAAAGCAAGCATCATAAACTAACCAAACAAGTATCTATAGTAAGTACAACAATCGCCGATCGAAGCCAACCATTTCCACTAACGACAACTTCCATCTCAAAATCAGATTCTCTAACGCCATAATAACATAATTCTATAATTTTTAACCAAGGTCTATCTAATCAAAGAATAAAAATCCACAGTAAGAGTTCAACAAGTCATTGAAATCACAAGATGCAGATAATAAAACAAATGCACCACAAACACCTATAATTCACTCCAATTACATGCTCAAAACAACACAAAACCAGGTCAAACATGAGACTAAGAAACACCAACCCGAAAAAGCTTATCAATTATATGAACCCGTCCATTGTAAGGGAAAACAAATGCATCAGAAACACCAGTTACTCCGTAAAAATAAAGGAGCAAAACAACCTAAAACCAAACCACCCAATAGAAAGATAAGATTTTAAATCGAATAAAAGAAAATCCGGCACCTTTCCCAGCAATTGAGTCATGGAGAGGCGAGAATAAGGCACGAGAGCCTCAAGGACGGTGTTCGAAGCTCCGGGCAACGATAATAGCCATCCAAGGGCCTGAAAAAGTTTTACATTGGGTAAGAGTTAGCCGGGAAAAACTCATCCATGACATAATAGCGCCAGAAAAATACATTTTCCGGCCCAAAAAGGGGCAGATGGTCTAGTATACAGAGTTAGAGAGAGAAAATCGAAAAAATTGGAGAGAGAAAACGCGAGAGAAGAGAGACCTGAGATGCCCCGCCAGATACAAAGAGGACTGCGTGCATTGGTGTGGCATGGATGGCTTCTACAACGGCTCGGATCATGCCTTCTGTTGTCATCTTCTGCCCACCTCTACGTAAAAACTTCTCTCCCCACCAGGAAATACCTTGCTCTTGGGAATTTTGGTATTAAATCTCCTTGTTCCAGAGGGCCGATGAAAGAATTTCAAACCAATGTATAGTATTTTGAGCTAAGAGATATTACACTCCCGCTGGAGTATATTGCAAGATTTACTCCCTCGGAGAAAACCCCAGGATTAATTTTTAGGACTCTATATTTTGGCAACCTCAGCGTAACTAAAAATATCCCAAATTGCACTCTTTATGCACTTGAAAAAAAAATAATGTAGCCTGAAAAGATAATGTCTTAAGATTGAATATAAATAGACACTGCCCAATTTTAGCGGGGTGACATGTAAGTGCTAGAAAACTCTGATTTCAATTTCTTTTAGAATAATCATCTCGTTATTCTTAGTGGTTCTCATTGTAAAAATCCTCGTAAGAGGGACTTTTAACATAGGGAATAGATGTACACTATGATCCTATGCGCTCATTTCTTAAAAATATAGTTTTATAGTTTTATGGATTTTAATTATTTTGCCAACTAGGTGGCTCAAAATCATATCATCTCCCAACTTCCCCCCATCTCCATCATCTCAAAGTAATGAAGAATTTGAAAGATTACAAATATTTTGATACAAGAGTTGCTGCAAAATCGACTATTAAATCTTCGATATGGTAGATTACATCTAAAACTAATTTTTTCACCTAAACCTTATTTCTATGTAAAATGAAAAACCAAATTAAAAGAATACATGTTGAAAGAGCTAAGTACACTTTCAAATGAAAGTCGTGAGCATGTATACTAAATTCTAAGGATAGTAATGTACTAATTATATTGTTATCATGATTAAAATTAATATAGTAACCTATTTACTACAACAATATTAATATAGTAATGTACTAATTAATATAGTAATGTACCAATTATATTATTATCATGATTAAAATTAATATAGTAACCTATTTACTACAACAATATTAATTATGGTTTCATTAGTAGTAATGATAATTCCATTGTAATATCAATTAATTATGGTTTCATTAGTAGTAATGATAATTCCAACGTAATATCAATATTTTATTTAAATTTTCACTTATTGTGTTATTTAAATTTTATTTTTACGATATAACTCATCAATAATAAGAATTAATATGACAAAATAAAACAACTAATTGTTATCAAGAAAATACAATTTTTTCTATCATCACCCTAAACTTATCCCAACTATTTGGAGTTGACTACATGAATCATGTTCCACTATAGTTAATTTAAAGTCAAGGTAAATAGAAATCGAAAATATTTGGTTACCTAACTATTCAAACTTATAACTGATTAATAGTTCTATACTTCTTTTGATGTGGACAAAGACCCATATTAAAGTATTCCGAGGCTTGTGAGTGCGTTGAGGATGTCCCTTGCCTATGAAGTCATCATCCATCCACTTCCTACGAAGTTTTGACTTCCCCTTTTGTTGTTGTGTTTTTTCATCTATCTCTCCTTCCACTTGTGCTAGCTCTTACATCATAGGGCCAGTGATGATATAAACTAACGTAAGCGTGGTCAATAAAATAAGAGCTTTTGTTGTCACCTTTGAAAGTTTGACTTATCAAAATAGTCAATGTTCATAATTTTGAGGAACTACATGTTTCATCCAAAATATTGACTTGAACTTGTAAGAATTGAGGGCGGAACGAAGCAAAATAACAAACAAATTAAACAAATAAGTTTCAATCTCCATGATCCCATGCACAATGGATAGTTTTTTCAAGGCAATATATCCCCTTTACTGATATGAATAAGTATGTATCAAAGTTCCTAACGGGCAAATTTATACTTGAGATACATGGTAATAGAAAATTGTGAAAACTATATTGCCGATACAAATGCATAAGTATAACAAGATCTAGAGCGCTAAAGTTGTTTCTTTCTAGTGAGAGAAAAGTTCTCACAAAACACTTTGGACAGAGTACAGCTTTTGTACTATAAATTGGAGGAAAGAAGTCTCTATTAATAGAGAGATAAGGTGTCTTTCACCTACTCCGTATGACTATCCAAGTACATATTAGGTCAAGAGTAATAGAAACAAAATATTACTATTGTATAATGTAATAGGATAAGAAAGTGCATATTGCCATTGTAGAAGATAGAAGAGTGCATATTGCCAGTGTAGAAGATAGGAAAATGCAATAAGATACGAAAGTGCATACTACACCGTTGTATTACCATTATACATACAATGAAAGAACCACTACAAACAGTGTGGGGCATAATTATTTTCTAAAAGAGTTCATCTCTCTCACAAATTTTTTATGGTATCAGAGCGATCATCGATCTCAATCTCAGCTCCATGGTAGTTGTTCCTCTCTCTCTCTCT